AATTACTTGGAAGACTTTACTGTATATATATTGAAGAGCAAAAAGAAAGTTAAAAAATTATTTTTTTGCTTTTCAATGTATGTACAGTAAAGTCTTCTAAGTAATTTTTAAATAAAGTAATTTATTACCCACAATAAATTCCCAAACTTAGGCATCATTTTAGAGCCTCAAGGGTGGCGTTACCACTTACCCCGGATCTACAATAAGTGTTTTAAGCCTTAAGCCATAAGAAATTGACCAATTACAGTCGAATCCGAGGAAAATAAGCGACTGTGATTCGCCCATTTCGTATGGCTTAAGGCTTAAAACACTTATTGTAGATCCGGGGTAAGGGGTAACGCCACCCTTGAGGCTCTAAAATGATACCTAAGTTTGGGAATTTATTGTGGGTAAATAAATGACTTTATTTAAAAATTACTTGGAAGACTTTACTGTATATATATTGAAGAGCAAAAAGAAAGTTAAAAAATTATTTTTTTTGCTCTTCAATGTATGTACAGTAAAGTCTTCCAAGTAATTTTTATATAAAATTATTTATTTACCCACAATAAATTCCAAAACTTAGATACCATTTTAGAGCCTCAAGGGTGGCGTTACCCCTTAAAGATAAAAATTATAGACGGTTCGGCTTATATCAGGTCACCTTCAGTATATAAATAATATAAAAATAGTTCACAGTCTCATAAAATTAAAAGAATTGAAATAAATAAAAGATCAATGATTCTTAGTCATGAAATTAAAAGAATAAATTAACAATAAATTTTTACTCGAATTACAATCTACGCTTGTGCATGTTGTCGAAAAATTCTTTCTTCTATTCGTCTTAATGAGAGACTTTTATATTGAAACGTTATGGGAAACGCCAATTATTGTAAAATTTTTTTAACATGATCGGTTTATTTAGATCCAGTAAGAACAAAACCAATCATATTAAAGAATTTTATAACAATTGAAAAGTCTTTTCTGTTGGACGTAGCCAATTAAAAAGATATAGTTAGAACTAAGTATTCATCATATTTTCTACGATTTTTTTCCAGTTTTCATATTTTTTACTTTTGTAACCTAAAGATTTTCGCCTATCCCACCATACAATCCCACCTTACAATGAGACTCGACTGTACGACTTCATTTTGAATATAATAAAATGAAGAACATTGATAGATAACAACATAATTCATACAAAATCGAAAATTCAATCCGATCTTCTTTATGAAAAAAACGCTGATATCAATTTGCTAGACTTAATATCAATACTAATCAATTTCTTTCCGTTCTAAGAAAATCGTTATCTGATCTTCAAATTAAAAAAAATCAAAGCTGTCTTTTCTCTAGTCTTCTGGACTGTCTGAACTTTTTCAAGGCATAAATATGTATGATATTCGACGTTGCGTGTATATGTATGTGTTTATAGGTCTGTTCTTTTTGGCTGAACTTTTGCACTAGTTCATCTTTCTTCCTTTTCTCTCCAGTAGGAAAGAAGAGGAAAAAAAATGAACTAGTGAAAAAGTTCAGCCAAAAAGAACAGGCTTATGTGTAATATGTGCATTGTAATCGTTACCCTATATCGCATATCATCTCTTTTATATAAATCGTGCAAAGGCTAACCATCGTATGATCGCGTAATATAGCCATTTTGATATAAAGTGTATCGGCGATGCGCGATGTTATAGTGAACTAAAGCCGACAACAATAATATTACATTATTATTGATGTAATATTTACATAATATGATTAACAGTTGATATTATTTGCTGTTAAAATATTGAAAATTTTGTTGTGAATAGATTTGCAATATGCATATGTATGTAAATATATTCAATTAGTGATGCCTAAATCTATCAATTATGTGTTAGTATATAGAAACTTATGTGTTAGAAACGCATTCATTATGCGGGATACGGAAAATAGCTAATGAAAATGTTCTACTTAAATCTACAAGAACAAAATGATTAACTAAATAAAAATATAAAAAATGTAACTGTAATATTACTAAAGGCGTGACTAAAATGAAATTTCTCTGCGGGATCGAACCGTTATAAAAACAATTGATCGATCCTGTGATACGCCTGTTTCCTACTTCGCAAAAATCGAAAAAATTGGCATCTACGCGCGGCATTTTGCTTCATTCTATCGATATAATTGTACTCGCGGTGGAAAAATTTATTATTAATTTATACTCTTAATCTTATGCGAACTATTTTTATATTACTTATACTGTAACTAAAGATGGCCTGATATAGGCCGAAAAGTCTATAATTTGTATCTTTAACGTAAGAATTTTTTAATATATGATATTCGCAAAAAACATCCTGCACGTGGCTGAATGCTCTTTGTATTTTATGTTTGTAATATAAAGTCACCATTATTCATGTATCAATTAACTTTTTTATGTCTTGAAAAAGTCCAGACAGTCCTGAAGTCTAGAGAAAAGATATCTTTATATTGATTTTTTTAATTTGAGGATTAGATAACGATTTCCTTAGAACGGAAAAAAATTGATATTAGGTCTAGCAAATTGATATCAACGTTTTTTTCATGAAGAAGATCAGATTTTCGACTTTGTATGAATTATATTGTTATCCATCAATAAAATTCTTCATTTTACTATGTCCAAAATGAAGTCGTACAGTCGAGTCTCATTGTAAGGTGGGATTGTATAGTGGGATAGGCGAAAACCTTTAGGTTACAAAAGTAAAAAATATGAGAACTGGAAAAAAATTGTAGAAAATATGGTGAATACTTAGTTCTAACTATAACTTTTTAATTGGCTACGTCCAACAGAAAAAAATTCCAATTGTTATAAAATTCTTTAATATGATTGATTTTGTTCTTACTGGATCTAAATAAACCGATCATGTTAAAAAAATTTTACAATAATTGGCGTTTCTCACAACGTTTCAATATAAAAGTCCTTCATTAAGACGAATAGAAGAAAGAATTTTTCGACAACATACAACACAAGCGTAGATTGTAATTCGAGCAAAAATTTATTGTTAATTTATTCTTTTAATCTCATGACTAAAAATCATTGATCTTTTATTTATTTCAATTCTTTTAATCTTATGACTGCGAACTATTTTTATATTATTTATATTGTATACTAAAGGTGGCCTGATATAGGCCGAAACCCTTGAGGCTCTAAACCGATACCTAAGTTTGGGAATTTATTAAGGGTATCTTTAGTATACAATATAAATAATATAAAAATAGTTCGCATAAGATTAAGAGTATAAATTATAATAATAAATTTTTCCACCGAGTACAACCATTATATCGATAGAATGCCGCGTGTAGATGCCAATTTTTTTCGATTTTGGCGAAGGAAGCAGGCATAATCATAGGATCGATCGATTTTTTTTATAACACGGTTCGATCCCGCAGAGAAATTTCATTTTAGTCACGCTTTTAGTAATATTACAGTTACATTTTTTATATTTTTAATTAGTTAATCATTTTGTTCTTGTAGATTTAAGTAGAATTTTTATTAGTTATTTTCCGTATCTCGTATAATGTAAATACGTTTTTAACACATAAGTTTCTATATACCAACATGATAGATAGATTTGGGCATCACTAATTGAATATATTGCATACATATGCATATTGCAAATCTATTCAGAACAAAATTTTGGATTTTTTAACAGCAAATAACGTCAACTATTAATCATATTATGTAAATATTACATCAATAATAATGTAATATAATAGTTGTCGGCTTTAGTTCACTGTAACATCGCGCATCGCCGACACACTTTATATCAAGATGGCTATATTACGCGATCATACGATGGTTAGCCTTTGCACGATTTATATAAAAGAGATGATATGCGATATAGAGCAACGATTACAATGCACATATTACACATAAACACATACATATACACACAACGTCGTATAGCATACATAATTATGCACATGAAATACAAAAATATAACATATATATGTATGCATACATATATGTATATGTTACGGGCAAAGTCCGCAAATGGGCAATGTCGAGATTGCCCGTAACATATACATATGTATGTATATACATATATATATATATATATATAGATGTAT